ACTTCTCCTATATGTAGGGCAATGCACACTTTTGGGGTAGGTCAAAATTTTTGGAAACCCCTGAAATCTGGGGTAGCCCGCTTGTCTTTAAAAGCGACCATTTATGTTTGCTAGTTGGGCCAAAGAGATGCATTATAATTGATACTCATGGTCGAAAGGGTCTACCTGATGTAAGCCAGTCTTTGTAATAAATAAGGCAACATAATATGAAAAGAGGAATTACCCATGAAAATCACTCTGTCCTTGATCAGCACTGTCTAATGTCAACACTGTCTTGCCACTTGTCAGATTCAGTACTTGGACATGTCTGTCCTCACCACCAACTACCAAAAAGTCCTGCTGGGAAAGACAGAATTATAGAGATAGAATATGATCAAAGTTGTAAGTAAGTACTTTCAAGCATATTAGTTTTAAACCAAATCATGTTTTCTGAAATATTACAAGTGAACATTTTGAAAAATTCAATTAATGTTAGATACATTTCTACAATATAAATTAAAATAGGCTACCTAAACTGACCACCACCCAATGAGTGGCCTCAGTCTCCAATGAGTGGCCTCCGTCTACATTACTACCTGAGCACAAAAAAAAAGCGTGCCTCTAAACATACACATCTTAGCATTCACACATCAATGGACTTCGCAGCTTTCTGTAAACATCTGATCAAGAAGAACAGCTACCCACTTATACAATCTACCAGCTCACAGAAGTGAGTTTGCTGAGAACATGAGGTAGATCTACAAACATCCTCTTTACACGTCAAGCAAAAATTCTCCTTTCTAAAAAAGCATTTCAAACTCCAAATTGAAAAGAAATTGTGTTTGTACCTTCTACTACAACATGTACAAAGTTTTGATAATAGTAACAACATCAATGCAATTATAACAGTATGTTGCAGTGAAAACAAATAAAAAAATTTTCTACAGAAAACAAACCCCTAAAAAAGATAATCTAGATCCAATACTTACTTTCACAAGCACAAGACAGTTGATACGCCAATCCATAGTCATTACATTAACAGTTTTTGTGTCCTGAAACAGCACAAAAATGATAATCTTCATTCCCTTTTCGGAAGAGATAATTATACAAAAAGGTAAAATGAGGAATAATATCACAATGAATGAGGAAAATTTTTCCAATATATACAGTCCAACCTGTGTAAGACGGCCACCCATTGTCAAGAAGAAAAGTGGCCGTACAAGACAGGTGGGGGTCTCAGGGAGGCTTGATCAAAATGAAGAAAACAAACCGCTCCCTTCTGAGATCCCAACCGAAGGTAGCCGCATTGTTGTTTTTGTTGGGTCTTTTTTTAAATTAGCTTTTCTTTTTGCTGTTGCTGATTTTGTGAAAGGGTGACAATAAAACAAAATCTGTCAGATCAGGAAGACTGAGTGCCATGTTAAAACAAAACACGGGTCGCCACTACTGAGAGAACGAGCAATGCTTCTGTCGCAAGTTCATGTTGACGTCCATTGTTACTGTGTTACACACTGAAAACAGTGATTACTCATCTTACTTATGATTTGTGTATGAGTTGTGGGCGGAGCTTATGGGTTATGAGGGATCACACTCTTAGGCTACTTCACCAGCAGCTGAATATTTATTGTTAGCTATTGGTCAACAGTGGGAGGGGTCTACACAGCATGATTGGTTGGAGGGACTACCTAACAACGACAGGTGATTGCATTATGACGGATTGTCCACAACGTCAGGGGCTAATACATGATTTATTACAAAACTTCAGGCGATGAGAGAGGTGGCCGTCTAAGACAGGAAAAAAATATAAGGGGGAGAAAGGAACCTGGCCATTTGTACAGGTGGCAGTCATGGCAGGTTTGACTGTATCCACATAAAGACTGCTTAGCATAAGACTTCATCGTACACCATTTTGAAAAGTGATATGTGATGAAGTCTTACACTGACCAGATGATATAGAATGGTTGCATCTCAAAGGTTATTTTATAAAAGGTTGTAAGCAGCACTGTTTAGAGCCAAGTCTTTTGGTATTCCCTCTTTCTCTATTTGAGAATTAAGAATTCACAGTATCAAAATGCTTTAAAAAATATTTAACACATATAAATGGTGAAAAATGTGATACTAACAATAGCAGGTGGACTATAACTTCCAAAATGTAAGGGACCGGTCACAAATGATGTCAGCTAAAATTTGGCCAATCCTCATCTTTCCCAGGACCCCCCCAAGTTGACATCAACCAAAATGTACGTATACATTTAGAAAGAACCTGTACAGGATGCATTTTATAACTCCTTTGACCTTTATTTTAATTTCTAAAAATAAAACTATTGCTTATTAACACTTTCGTTGCCTTATGACGTACTTGGTACGTCATGAAAATGCACAATTTTTAGCGCTGTGTCGTACCATCCATGAAAATTTGCAAAATTTGCCGCTCCTAGTTGCCTATATGATGTTACATGTATGTCACGCTAATAATCAGGCTCTTATTCTTCTGTACAGAGTTTTAGCAACAAACGCTGCGTAGATTCGTATTCTGGAATAAAAGATGCACATATTGGTACCAAATTTGCTAGTATTACTTTACTGCAAGGCTTGCAAGCGATCGATAAACACAGATCTAGGCTTGCGGGCGGCCGCATGCTCTCGTAAAATGTAAACAGTGAAATGACTTTAAAAAGTAACATTAATTCACTTTTTGACTTAGATTTGCAGGTTATCGAAAATATGGGTAAAATGGGAGGAAATGGGGAATAAGAAAAGTGAGAAAAGAGACAATCGAAGACCCGGTGCCCGAAATATGTCACGAGTGCGCTAGATCTAGATCGCGCGTCCATTAACACTGAGACATTAGGCTGCTGTCTTGGGAAACGAGCTCAGCTGAAAATCAGTAATGACAGTAGGGATGCATACCCCCTGGCAACGAAAGGGTTAAAGGATACAACAAAGGAATACCTGAACTGTCAAATTATTAATTAACAACTTTAACCTACCAAAATAATTAAAACAAATAGATTGGATATCACAGCCTGGAAAATAACCAAAGCAAAAAGATTGAAGCATCATCTCAGGTTGGGAAAAATAAATATCGAACAAATCAGAACACAAAAATGAATATTTAATATTTGTTTATGCATGGCATGTATTATTTAGCAATATATATGGAAATGAACGATTTGACAAAAATTAAGTAATCATCCAAAATTTTGAGTTGAGTTGAAAGAATCTTTATAAACAAATTGTAATTAGATTTAAAAGAAAATAAAAGAGGTCCAGTTTTTTAACTATGTTAATACAACAATGTGGTCCATAATATTTTCTATTTTTTCTTCGCTTTTTTATCTTTTCTTTTTTTCCTAACCTTTTACAGCATCATGGTTGATGTTAACTTTGTAAGGACCCCCCCCCCTCCCAATGTCAATTTTTGTCAACTTTTCCCAGACCCCCACCACCCCCCCTCCCCCGAGCTGACGTCATTTGTGAACGGTCCCTAAGAAGGCAGTGGTTCTTTAATTCCATGAGTTCCAACCCTGTTCATGACATCATGAAGAGAGCACTACAGCCTAACTTTCACATGGTCAAAAACATTCATTTGAAAAGATAAATAAATAAATAAAAAATATATTTGACTTAACATAAGAAAATATGATCCAATATAATGAAACAGAAAAAAAACCTATAAATTTTTACCTCAATATCACATATTTCAATTCTTCTGTCAAACTGCAAAACGTAGCGATCTCCAGAGGGTGTGAAGAATATTGAGAGGGCGACTGAAACAAAAAAATTTTAGTTTGCTGATCATGGATTAGAGCTCCAGTTTGAGTGCAAACAATGTCCTTTAGTTTTTGAGAAAATTCCCTTAAAAATGATATGCTAAATCGAATGGCAGTAATCCCAACGCTTTATTTCAAACAGACAGCTCCATAAATTTTGTAACATTGTGAGCCAATACAATGCTTTAGAGCAATTTTTAGATGTTTTTGCTCCTTTCCTCAAAATATTCATTTCTCGGCTTCAAAAGCTAAAAACTAAAAAATAATTAAAGAGAAAGACATGAAATTTGGAGGGTAACTGCACCATGCAGTTCCAAATAAATGAGGCTTGCTTTTTCTAATCTTAGGACAAAAAAGTTTTTAATTGATTTTTTGACTTTGCGTTTTTGACTATTTTTGCCATTCACTAACATGCAAGTTTTTTAAACGTAATAAAATTATTAATATTTACAATTTCAAGAAAAGCTAGCGTCATTTTCTAAACATTTGTGTGCAGATTACAAATATGAAATTAGTTCATAAATAGCATGAATGGATTTTGAGTTTTTAGCTTTTGAAAATGGTCCTTCAGATAGCCCGATCTCACACTAATTTACCATTTCTATGATTATGTAACTAATAATGATTCCCAAAACTGAATATTTTTAATCCTTAAATGGAATACTTTGAGAAAATTAGAAGAAAACAAGTAAAAATAACTTAACCGTAGATTTTGGTGCTAAGAAGTAGAGTGTGGTCTTAAGGCAACAAAACACCTTTTACAAAAGTTCAATAAAACCATTTGTATCGACTGCTCAGTGTAAGACTCCATCATACATCACTTTTCAAAATGACAGATAGCGGAGTGCTACACTGAGCAGGCAATATACTGTCTAGACTTGGTTTATAACTTTGGCAGAAAAATACCCAAAACTTTTTCTTTGGGAGCCATACTGGACAGACTCCAAGTCTTCGACTGTCAATAACCAAGGTGTCACGAGAGCCTTCAAGTGCTTAGTTCTTATCAAAGTGCTAAATCCTACCTACCTATGGAGAAAGCAACAAAGTCTACTAACTGCGCATGTATAAACAGGAAATCAAATTCAGTCCTTTGTCATAAGAGATGAGCATTATACCCCATGGTTAACTAATCTCTATGATTCCATTCAAGCTGTATATCAAAAGGAGAAATTAAATTCTAGAGAATTATACCACACATATTTTTAGCTTTAAGCAGAGCACGGTAAATTTCCTTTCATTCGTACAAGCTGAATGCTAAAAAAGTTTTGCCCTTAATTAGTTCCTACCATCCTGAAGCTTTCTTTGAAAAGCCAGTTTCCCAGTCAGTAGATCCCATGTGAGAAGGCTTTTGTCACTGCCAGCAGAAAAGCCCAACTTTCCCGTTGGATGAATCCCCACTGTCATAACTTTAGCTCTGTGGGGAAACCAAAATCAGGATATAAAAGCAAAAGCTTGCAAAATAAACTACAGACAGAATAATGAAGATAAAACCTTCTATCTTGTCAACTACTCTCTTCACCTGTTTCTACAAATAATGGTTCACACACAGTACTGATGTGTCTTTAGCTTAAAGAGAAGGTGTGGAATCTCACATCAAAAGGTGTTCAATAATTGGTACACAGACGACTAAAGTTACCAAATCTGACATCAAGGGTATATACCTAAACATGAGAAGATACAACACAGTTATCTATCATGTAAAAAAGAAAACTATGCAATGTCTTAACATCCTTCTTCATGTCCTTTCAGAGGTGACCATTTCTGAGCATTAAAATTTAGCCAAAACTTTTAAGTTCACACAAAGGTCAAAACATCAACACTATTATGAACTTTTTATAAAGTCAAATACCCCCATAGTATGGTCCACTACAATCAATACATTTATTTGGTGTGCAAAGTTGAAGATCAAAACATTCACTTGCCATAATGGTACAAGCTGATTTAGTAAAACAAGACGCTTACTTCCTTTTTAACCCTTAAAAAGTCGACATTCGTACTGAATAGTCGCAGTATCATTCTTCTTTTCCACTTGTTTTCATTGCTTATCATAAATATATTCTTGCCTGTACTGCAAGTGTGTTCTCATGTTACATAATCAAATCTTCATTCTTTTCTAAACATTTTGGTACATTATAATAATACAAGCTTGTAGCAGGAAATCTGTCCTTTTTTGTGAAGGAAATGTTAACGTATGCATACTTTCAATTAAAACTTGCTGCTACAACCCAGGGAATAGGTTATAGTTTTAGTGGAGGTTTTAAGGCGCTCGCAACTGCATAAGGTCATATGAGCGCCAGAAGATAAGAGGTGTTAAAAGAGAGTAACAAACATAAAAAAGAAGAAGGGGAGACAAGGACGATAGATGTTTGATAGGAAAGAAGAAGCAAACCACACCTGAGCACCCGCCAACCACCCATGGGAATAGGTTTACGACTTGAGTTCATGGACTCTACTACAACAGAAGATAACTGTTATAGTATATGTGACATACTTTTGCATGCTCAGCCTTAAGGGGCAACTGAGACAAACTTGGTAATAGTAATAGTGCGGGCTGAAATTGATACGAAACTAAAAACTATTAAACTCTAACAGTTAACTTTAGAACCTTAAGCCCAGTAGCAGTAATAAATTTGTCTGGACATACTTATGGCCTTTTAGAGTCCTCAACAGCTCCCAGTTCTTGGACTTCCACATGCAGATGGTCCCATCTTCACTGGCAGAAAACATGTATCCCTTTCCATAGAAAGTGAGGCAGTTGACTGTGCCTTTGAGAAACATTTTGAGAAGACAGAATATAATTTATACGTGTCAAGATGTGGTGGAATCAGGTGTTCGTCAATTTTTGGGCATGTGGAATTATTGATATCATCTGAAAGTTTATTCATTTTCCTTGCTTTCAGTGAAAAAAATATCCATTTAGTTTGAAAAGAAGTCGAGATATTTGCGATTGAAGAAGGTGGGGCAGCCTGGTTTCAGTGGTTTAACTAATGAGGAAATGGCCTCCAAAGTTTGGTAACTTCAATAGCTTAAGAGTCCTTGAAAACTGAAAATTACATACTTTGTGCCTTTAAACAAGGTTTTTCAGTAAAATTCACATGGAAATGTGTTTTCATATGAACATAAATGGTGTTTAGCCTGACTGGTGGCAATGCCTTTTTCTTCGATTTCATTATTTTGATGAGTGCCTGATTTCACCATGATGCCTAACATATCAACAATATTCTAAAAAATAAACATGACAAAATTATGTGAGAGTACATTGATGAAACCAATTACATTTGAACTTTGAACTTTACCATTTTAGTCATAACTTAAGTTATGAAATTCAAGGTACAAATGGAATAAATTTGAGAAACAACGCTGTAGCTACTGATTTCTCTTGTTACAGAGAAAAAAACGTATAATCCTGTCCCCGAAGTATAAGAAACTGCCTCTGCATTCCCAAATGATTTTTTAAGTATCTCACTACTGCCATCTAATACTCATAATGAGTACCCGTTCTCATTATCTGTATGATTATAAACTAGTACTTTGTAAAATCAAAATGAAATACAAAACAGCAACATAAAGCGAAGAGACTGAACTTGTTCACACATGTCCCTGACCTGTGTGTTGGAAGACGCCTCCAATTTCTTTTCTTCGCTTCAGGCTGTGTAGCCTAACAGAATCATCTGTGCTGCTGGAAGCCAGTATACCATTTGATGAAACTGACAGGCACCTCAAGGCACCTCTGTGGGCATCATCTGTAAAACTTGTCTCCAAAGTGCAGTTCTAAAATCCAGAACAGAGAAAAATTGAATTGTGAAGACATTTTGGAGTAATGACTGAATGAAGCGCTGTGGTAAACAAATTGCGCTGAGTCTATTAATTCGCACCTAGAGCGGCATTGCCGGACGTTTCAATAGCCGAACATACCGACACTTCCGTGGTATGCATATCTATGAGGTCAACGGAGAATGTTAGCATAGAATTAACTGAAAACTAGGGTATAAAGCAAAAATAGAGTTTTTCTTCTTTCTTTGAGTTTTTGAATGGTTGAAATAGAATTTAAAATGGTGCGAGTGTGAATTTTTACAAGCAAATATATAAATGACGAAATCGAGAGTGCGATGGAGTTGAACTTGGACAAATCCAAGGAAACTCTGAAAGTGAAGCAATCTTGACCAAACAAAGACACATTAAAAGTTTATTTCTCTCTACCGTAGTATCGTATTTCAAGTTTAAGACTGGTTATTTTTTTAACTTGACATATATTGAGAGAAATCTAAAACTTTTTTAATTGTCCATGCCCATACTGTACCACAACTGAAACTGGCTAGTTGGGAGAATTTCTTTTCCTAATAGGCTTATCATTGTATAAAGTTGTGTTTTGTCCCGCAGATCAATATCATAAATTATTTTGTAAATTTTTATAAATTATCTAGGCCTTATGACTAAAGTGCGCCTAAAAAAAGAAAAAAATATAGATCTACGATGTCTCACCCAGGGTGAGAATAGAAATATGATCGACCTCTCACCCCGGGTGAGACTTGCCACCGTAGGCTATTCTCACCCGCTAATTTCGGAATACTTTCTATCGATGTGGATGATCAAATGGATAAAGGCAAAGAAAAGATTACGTTATAGCACAAAAGTAAGCTAATTTTATCGACTACAAAGATGCTATGGCTATTTCACTTTTCGAATCGAGCCAAACTACGCGGGTCGCCATTTTGTTTTGCCCGGAAGTTCTCGCTCTACTCCTCTCTCTTTCTCTCTCTCTCCACTGCCCACAGCCAAAATTGTACGCTTTTAGTAGGCTAACCGTAGTAATGGAACGTTTGTTCACGGCACAGAATTCTACAATTTTTCTGTTTTATCACAGTGTAGAATTCTGTGGTTTAGGCTGAACGCAAAATTGGTTGGCCTAGATCTAGGCTATAACGGTGAACGCGCACCGGGTGAGAATAGCCAAAAGACTCGCCTGCACTATTCTCACCCCGGGTGAGAATAGAGGTGGCCAAATTAAAGTGGTACAGTGGAGTCCACTTATAACGAGTCCTGAAAAACGAGAAGTTATAAAGATACTGTTCTAAAACCCCGTTTTTTTTCCTTCTTTATCTTTGTAAATAAAATACTGCTATTGCGCAATCAGATCGTTAGGCGAGTCGGTTATAACGGAATATATTGCTGCTGCTGTGCACAGCGCACAGACCAAGTAAACATTATTATAAAACCTTGCCAGTTGAGAAAGTTGTCGGTGATCCAGCAAAACAAGGAATGGGAGAGCCCACGTGGACCAACAATGAAGGCCGGAGCGAATGAGTGGGGAGGGTGCCTCTCACTTCTCTAGTGCGGGATGGAGAGGTCACAATGCTGTGATTAGATGGATGGAGTGAATGTATGACGTGCGCGAGCAGACGCAACGCATCACAGTGTGTAGTGGGGTGGGGAACAACACTGCGGGCGAGTTAGCCTAGAGCCAGAGCCCCTTCTTTTTGATCGCCAAGGCCGATTTGTCAACATTGCTAGTGCTAGAGAAAGAAACCTGATTCGATTTTTGATCAGGTAAGACCTTGAGATCATGTTGAACAAATCATCAGGGGAAATACAAAAAGGAATAAACAGAACGCCAATTAATCATAGATTAGGCCTACTTCACTATTTCCCTTGAATTTATTATTGGATCCCTTGTAACGAGAATCCTGCTATAACGGACATTTCGCATCGGTCCCCTCCCTCTCGTTATAACAGGATTCCACTGTATTAGAATCATATTTTCGTTATAAATTAATTCTCTATAGGCCCTGTTCTCTAATAACATTAACTTTACTAACGGCCTAGGCCCTAGGCTAGGCTTAGAAGCTAACCCAACCCCCTTTTCAAAAGTTTTTCTAATCTAGATTCTTAGAATCCCAACACAAGCCCGAATAAAGTTACGGCCGATAAAGATATAATGTTCCAGTACTATTGGGCCAAAGACAGACATTGATTCCCCGATTCAAAGTGGAGAAGCAGAGACAGGGAAAGGAAAAGAACTACGTTTGCTACTTACATTGTTTGCAACACTTTGTACTGTCCTGAAACCCAAAACCATGTTTTCATAGGTTCCGACAATGATTTCAATGGACTCCATCCTGTCGATACTTTGCAGGAAACAAACTTAACACAAACTATTATTCCTTGGCCTTCGGCTTACTAATCTACAAATAGTCTTTTCCACTGGTTTGGTGTCTTTGAGGAGTCTAATCTCATCACACAGATCTATACATGACATAGAAATCTAGACTCTTATCATCTCGCCATGCTTTCAGTCAGTGTTGTAAACTTTGGTGATCTTCAATTACAGAAACAACTTTCCGTCTAAACTGGTGGCCAAAATATCCCCCGTCTTTGATTTCATGTCAGAGAGCCAATGAAAAAAATGGAATTTAATCTCCGTTGATGTGGAATTGTTTACAAATGGCGGCGAGCAGATTGAGAAGTCCATGAAGGAATAAATAGACTAAAATTAGTGAGAACTTAAACCACAAAATCTTCTGAGCAGTGGGTGCAAGATAAAGAGATAAATAGAGTATTAATACTGTAAAGTGATGTTCTTTTAAATTCAGCGTTTTAGATCATACCTGCAGTCTGAGAGGTTTACTGAAGTGTATACCCGGATACGAAAGGTTTGTCACCCTAATGCCTAATGATAATGCTATGATGATATAATGATGGGGTGCAACACCTGCCATTTGTGTTTTGTTATGTGATGGGCACGTAATACATATGATGCCTTGAGTGAAAGAAGGGAAAGGGAGATCAAAGTAGGCAGGAGACATAAAGAGTGATACAATGTTGCCTTTCACTTTCACTTGAATACTGTTTAAATTTTCCAAACTAGAATGTGACAGAATATACATACATCTGAACGACATGAATGCAGTATTGTAGTTCAAAGGCATATTTTCATGGTATGGAAGCGGGGTACAAGCCTATCCTCACGGTTCAAATGACGAATTAATTGAGGATAAATTTGCTCAACTAGTTATAATGCATATATATATATATATAGGCCTATATATGTTATCAAGTTGAGTTTACGATTTAATTTAATCAATCTTTCAAAGCTTTTTCCCCCCTCACTTTTCCCTTTTCTAACATATAGAATTGTATACCTCCACATATTACTGTTATAACAGAATGGACATGTGTATGTCAACAAGCTATGTGCTTGTGCATAATTATTATTATTAGCATTATTATATAGTCTGGGTACTGAGATTACAACTTTAATTCTTTCATTTTCAATTTTGTTGTCCAATTTTCAGCTCATTATGTCCGTAAATGATAGTAATATGTTAAGTTAAATATTTTGGTTCCATTTCCCCTTTATTCCTCCCTGCGAATTTTCTCCAAAATGTCACAATTTCAAACATGTACACAGCCATAACTCCCCCCCCCCCACCAGGGCAGTTCTTCTAACTGAAGCTGTCTTTATAGGCCATTCCCAAAGGGGGGATATTAACATGTTCTTATGCACAGTAGAATTGTAAATGGGCTGATTTATCAGTGTCATGCTCATACTGTGCCGGAACAACATATATAGGCTAATAGGGGGAAATCTGCTGCTTCTTCTTTCCTCATCCTTATACTATCATAATTTTTCCTCTACTTCTTTTGTATGTTTGTCACTCTCTCGTGAACTTCTATTTCCGGCATGCCTTGATAGTCGAAGCAGACTTTGTGCTGTTTAGGCTAGAGAGGTGAGCAGAGTAAGCCTGATTCCCCATTTTGATTTTGCTGTTGACATCCATTCCTTGGCGCTCATATGTCCTTATGCAGTTGCGAGTACCATAAAACCTTACTAAGGCTAAACTAAAACAGCCGTAACAAATCAAAAATTTGTTGACCGATTTTCAAAAAATAAAAAGCATTTTTCTATAGAAGTAGTGGTCTTTACATCTGTGTGGTTTCTAAATTAAAAGTAATATTTTTAGAAAAGCTGTAGTATTGCTACAGAATAAGCTCAAAATTAGGTAATTCACTATCTGTAGTTTTGTTTCATGATTGAAAACATTGTGTCCCATGTTCTCCAGATAACCGTCATGACCGAGGTTCTCAGGAACACATCCCAAAATTTTGATGGAGCTGAGAAAAAGAAAGTTCTTGAACAAGTTTTTGCTCAGTACGATGCAAATGGAGTTGAAGAACTTACACCAATACAAGTCCAAATATTGCATGGAGATCTGAGAATGGGAGGAATAAGTCTACCACAGGTAAGATATGTCCATTATTAGTAAACAACTATGGCAAGAACAAGAGCTATTAGGACTGGGAATTGGGGAAAGAGATTCGAGATTTTTAGATGGACAGAAAGAAAGATGAACAAAGAGAAGACTGGGGTATATATGAAAATTTACAAGTAAATTCTAATATGTCCATGGAAGAATTGAGTGTGCTGACAATGAACTAGATGCATAGACACCCAGAGAGAAAAAAAATGAAGCATTGACAAGAAAAAGCATAGGTGCTAAAGGCAGCCTAGCTTGTTTCAGTAGCTTTTCAAAAAAGGCACAAAATAGAGAAGAAACTATTCTTAGCCTACAAATACTCTCTTCTATCTTGTTCACTTCTACTTTCTAAGATATAAGCTACACACTCTCACTCTGTAGAATCTACAATTTTTTTTTTCACCATTAAAAGTTGAGATGACTGGTGTCCTGTGATTGAATGTTTTTGGAAGCATGGCCCTTACTTTAATCGCGTAAGAGCCTGTCCTTCATTGTATTTATAACATGAAACAAAATTGTTGGTACGGGATCATATTCTGAGTAACATGATAGTCTATTGTAAGTGAATTACATCTATGCCCTTTCACATAAAATGGAAAGCAAAATCTACCTGTGGGTAAAATTAGAAAAATAGTTTATTAACGTCTTTCTGAAGAAAAAAAATCATGTGAGATCCTGCTATGTGGAGAAAAGAGTCCGCTGTCTTTAAATCACAAGCTGAGCAGATGAAGGGTGTGATGTGTGGTGGGTACAGTCAAGGGAGAAAAATTGTATAAATCTAACATGCTTTATGAACTTGAGTAACATAACAGAATCGATAACATGTGTTTTCAAGTTTTGAAAATGCTAAGAGATGTTTGTTTTTTGTTTTTTTTCTTCAGGTTTTTGCATCTGTAAAGTACATCTGTGCTACAAACAACTGCCATATCAGTGAGTTGTATGATCTTATTCAAGAGATGGATCGTCGCTATTTTCTTATTCAAGATTTCCGATGGGAATTCTCCTTTTTGGACCGAGAACAGAAACAAAGCATCACTGTGGCTCAAGCAAAGTACGTGGTTTGATACAAATGCTATGCTTTATGTTTTTTACCTAATAGAAAATTATGCACTTCATTTACTTCAAAATGAAACAATTCAGCTGTTTTCAGGTGAAAATTTTGTGTTAACTTGGTACAAAAAACCCCTAAAAAATGATTATAGTGAACCATGAAGTTCATTTTACTATAGAATCATGTGAACAGCTTAAAAGAGCCATATTCATACACGGAAATGTGATACTTGTAATCTGTCTGCACTTTGCCATCTTGTGATACAGTTATCAGCCAGATGTATCAAAGATGGTAGAAAGTTGAACATCATCACTTAATTCCAACAGTTCTCTAATGGACAAAAGAAATTCTCGCGCTCATTTACACTGGTTTATTTAAAGCTTAATTCCATCTTGCATAATCTCAAGTACTCATGCTCTCAATAGCTATTGCTGTCTGTAACATTTGTATTTTTTCAAAATTGAATATGCATTCTCTTGTTGACTTTATTAAAATATATTTTCACTAATTTAGTTTTGAAGCTCTGAGCATTTCTGATGTTTTTATTTTTTGTTTATATAGATGTGTGTCTCATAGGGAAGGTGAGCTGTATTTTAGATTAAACCCCTTACATAAAACTGGGCTTGAGATGTTCTGTTCAGCTGAAGTAAAATATCAGTTTCCATCATTCCCATATTGAACTGAAGAATTTGCTACTTTTGATTACTTTTATCGCATCAAATGTGGAAATGTATACTTTCTATATCAAAACACTTCTGTTTCTATGTGGAAATATATCAGAATATCCCAGAAAACAAAATTTTGTCCATAGATGGTTTGTCCAGTCTGTCCATGGAAGATTCTTCTCGCCTGGGAAATGGAGCAACTTTGTAAAATCACGAGCTGTACCAGGCAGTGGTGTGACGTTTGCAGAGATAGAAGTGATGCTTTGTGACATTCCAAGCAAACAGATCTTGGAGGAAGAGGAACGAGAAAGAGAACGATTACAGAAAGGTAAAACGTTTGGATCTTTTAAGACTTAATTTATGCAGCACTTTATTGATCCTGCTCTATTTTTTTATTTTATTAGTGCATGTGGAGATAATATGATTCAAAGTGTTAAAGTGACTCTATTTCTTTTCAAGAACGAATATTCAAGAAAAAATTTCTGTTTACCAACTCATCTTTCTGCATATTTTACTTTGTTGGGTTTTTTTAAAAGGGTTTTTAAACTTTTTATTGAACAGATAAGCATTATGGTATATTCTTGTTATGTGTGCAATATGTGAATGTATTCTTTGTGTTTAGAGCGACAAAAACGCAAAGAACAGGAGGCAGCTGCTGCTAAGGCAGAGAGGATGAGAAGACAGCAAGAACGAGAAGCTGCCAAAAAGTTGGAAGAACTTGTAAGTTCACATACTTTAAAGGGATTTTATATGATCTGATCTGTGATATGAGCTGAAGAGAGAGAGAGAGAGAGAGAGAGAGAGAGAGAGAGAGAGAGAGAGAGAGAGAGAGAGAGAGAGTGTGTGTGACCTGATGTGTATGTGTGTGTGCATGGGTGGTGTATGTGTGCAAGTTGTGTGTGTGAGGTGTGTATGTTTGAAAGTGTTTGTGTACATATGTGCATATTTGCTTTTGTGTGTGTTTTAGTTGTGTTAGTATTTGTGTGTGTATACATGTGTTGGGGTGTTTGGTGTGCATGCTAGTGTATTTGGATTGGTATGATACTGTGTATTTGTAACTAGCATAGTTGTTGTTATAAAACTGAAAGTGTTATTTCTTTATAAGTGGTATCGGTAAGGTATGTGTTTATCTCTTCTTGTACGGACGTTGTCCTTTCAATGTTTAGTTCTTTCGATCGTAGAAGTTTAAGATCTATTCTATTTTACATAAAATCGACACTGCATTTATCTTAATTTTTGCTTGCCTTTAGTAAAAAAATGTTCATACTCATTATGCAGTAAAGATAATATTTAAAATTGCTATTTTAGCTATTTAGGACATTTTGGAAGTGGACTGTTTCAACCACATCCGAAATGGTCAGTCTAGGCTGTAAAGGACACATCCCTACAAAAATATGGAAATGCTTTTCAAAATATCATCCATGAGAAGGAATCAGTCATGACCTCTGTGTGCAAGGTTTGAGCCTTGCTTTTTCTTTCTCCTCAAATGCTGGAATATTTCTTGACCTTGCTATTCTTTGAAATATTTTTTTCTCAGGAAAACAAGAAAGCAGAAGAGGAAAGACTTCGAAGGGAAAGAGAAGAAGGTATGTTCTGATTTATGTTGAGTGCTTAGTCATTACAGTACTCTTACAAGCATTTGACTTTTGACTAACTTTCATTTTCAATTGTATCTACGTTTACAAGTTGAATCATTCTTCCCACAGTTTTATTGAAGCTACTTTATATTTATGTACAGAAGGACTTGTTCTAATTGCTGTCTAAGAAAATTACCTACACAAACAACCACTTTACACTCACCCCTCATCTTGTGTTTTTCTCTATTTTGTAATGATACTGTTCATGATCTTCATCTTTCAAAGAAAGCGTCCTTTCTCTTTGATGATGTGTGGCTGTCTTCGACACCCAAACGCACACAAACACACACTTTTCATACATTATATATATATATGTATAGATATTTCAGTTCAGTGTCATTTCCCTTGAAACCAAAACTGGGTGATCTTATTGTTCAGCAGGAGTAGATTTATCGTAAGATACATGATAAAAAGAGGAAGCATTGCAAAATGTAATTCTAAACCTCTGAATATAATGAAATACCTTCATCTTGCAGTTCTCTGCCCATACATAATATCTGTGAGTTCTTATGACTTTACATCTAAGCTCTAGCCCGTGAGTTCAATCTTTTTATGGCAGCTAGCAGTGGGGTAACGTTTACAAAACTCTCTTTCTTCAAGGCATGTCAGGTTTCTTTCCACTTGCAATGATGAATATTTTAGTTGATATTGTATATTGATAGTGTGTGCTGAAGAATAAAACATGTCTGATTTTCTCTCCTTTCTTTGCTATAGGAAACAAACTCTTTCTTTTTTGAGGTGAAGGTAAACTGGTAAACCAATGTTCTGTAAACATTTTTTTTTGAGTGGAGCATTTGTTGAGACCTTCACAGTGACCTCACTTCCTCCATTGATGGCATGTCACATGGTGTTGTGTTTAAAATCCCTTTAGTTTTGACCCTGGGTATCTCTTATTTAAGCTTGCAATTGGGGAATAAGTACTGAATTGGAAGGAGATGGAAACATACTGGTCTTATGATGATTCCCATGGCTTCTTCATGCTCATTCCGCATTGACCCCGACACTCACTCCTGTGTGCAAAGAATTTGTGTATATCTGTGATGTATTAGATAACTTTGTTGTGAAACAAACAACTATTTCATGAGATTATTTAATGGAAAGTTGCTGTGTCCTTAACTGGAGCCATAATGTCTCTCTGAAATGTAACTGGCTGCAATTAAGGTCATAGTATCTGGGGTTTTTTTTGTTAATGGTTACAAAGTCCATAGCTATGGAAAAGGAATGCCTAATACAAAAGCTCAGTGCATTATACATTTAAAGGCTCAGTAAATGTATAAATCTTCTAATGAGTTCACTTCCTGCTACTGGCGAATAAAATAAAGTCCTCTCACATGGGCCTTTGTTAGTTGTAAAATCATCTGAGTAATGAGCCTATGTGTTCTTGGATATTGAGCAGGTCCATACAGGCTGAGACCGCTGACCCATTTATGTTTGTCTTTCTCTCAGTTTTCTGGTTTGTTGTTTTTCTGTTTTTCCGATGGTGTTTCGATTTTCATCCATAATCTCGCTAAATTCCAAATTCTGTCATGAGTTCAGTGTAGTGTGAATCTTCCTTCAGAGTTAAGTTCTTCTACCCCCCCCCCCCACTGACACACCTCCCATCAAACACACTTGCATCGCAAGACCTTTTGTTACCTGGATCAGGATACCCTAGTTCCTGTCACACATTGGATCCCCCAACCCACACAACTCCTAGTTATAAAATAATCTAAACTTCAATAGTTCGTCGTGATGAACAACAATACTTGAATGAAAGTGCTTTATAATTTATAATGCAAATTGAGAGAAAGGACAAAATCGTTCTCATTCAACTTTATTGTCAGGGGAGAAATAATCCTGCTTGTTTACTCGAAAACCCAGAACATTAGTGGAATTCTGTTGGGTAATAAATAATTGCTAGTGGTTGTAAATGTTTCAAGGCAAGCGTATATCGACACAATTTGGATAATTTGGGGGGTGGGATATTTTCAAAAGCTGAAGTGATGCACAGAACTTGGTCGAGAGAAAATAATGTCATTATTATTTCCGTATTGCGGTCAGTGTAGCTCACTGTGACAGATGTTTGCGAATTTGTGGCGTAGAGCCGGAAGTTAAGCTTAATGATCTGGTCATTGTTTTCTCTTTTTTGTTTGTTTGCTGTTTTGGGGCGAGGTTGTCATGTTATGATGTTCTATCTATGTGTGGAGTTAAATGTTTGCTAAAATGTGCCTGGGCCAGGGTGAAAAGGTTTCGTCCACAACATCAATGTATGACGTAGGAAGCATTGTCGTACTATTCCATGAATTGAGTGTTTTGCCCATGCATTTCATTTGCCCTTCTGTTTATGAGTATTTGTTGTTCCTGCATGTTCACTGCATTAAAAATGCCGAAAGAAAGTAACTAATTGGCATTGATTCTTTTATAACTATGTGCTAATTTTATCGAGAATAAAATACAGGTTAGGTCATATATTTTAGATAAATCAGTTGTTTGGATAATATTATAAAATTTGTTTGATTTTCATTAGGAGTAATAGAATTGAGGCTATTGTTATAATTTGACAGGGTCATTTTCCCAGACATAATTGAATTCTGTAATAAATGTTTATCTATGCGCTCCTGGTTGCACCTATGCCATGCTCATTCTTATGCTCTGTGCCAATAGTAATCCTACTTCAGATGAAAAATATATCTACTCTTTGTACCCCAATTTTTAGAAAAGCGGTCAAATTTTTAAATTTTGTTTGGTTTGTTTTGAAACATAGAGGAACACGGCGTGCTCATATGACCTTATGCAGTTGCGAGCGCCATAAAACCCCATATTTTAAAAAAAAGGAACAAAAATGTTTTTTCTCTTATCATGAAAAAAAAACGTGCTCATATTAAATTTTCCACCAATGCACATAAAAAATTACCCTGACAGATACCGAATGACCTGAAGTTTTGATATTGTGCGAAGGTTGTCTTTTGTGGAATAAAAAAGTATGCAGGCTTTATAGTTATATTATTTATGTACTTGGACTTTGCACTCTCTATTCTCTCTAGTGATTGCTGTGTGCGTGTGGTAAGGGATGACTACAGCCTTATTGGTGGGGTCACAAACTGGGGGCATGTTGATTTGTGTCTGGGTCCTGTTGTGACATGGGCAACTGTTGTTATGTAGCCTGTCAGCTGAGTGACATGTAGTTGTAAACATCATTCCATGCTAGAGTTCAGCTGTGATAATGAACTTCCGCATTGTGCTTGCTTGCCCTTTGCTGCAGAGAACATTGAGGACATTTTTTTTTGCCATTTAGTGTTTCAAACAGGGAGAACAATTCTTGAATGAAAGCATTTGTGGAGTACCAGTGAGAAAGAAAACGCAACCAAAAGGGGAAAAAATGAGAGGGGGGGGGAGGGAAAAATGTCAGACCAGCTGTGTTTGATCTACATAGAGAAGAACAAAATGCCTTGACAATCAGCTATGTTTTTTTTGTCTCCTGACATTACCCATCTGTTTCCTGTTTCGTTTGAAAGAACTCACCAATCCCTCTTTTCTCTAGGATGCCTAGTAGACTGATTACTCATTTATATTTTACTCTTCTCAATACAGTGTTTTCTTGTCTGTGGTGGGATTTGGGGGAATGGGGGGGGGGGTTACAATAGAATGATATGTAATTTTAATTTCTTTTTGGTTTATACTCGAATAGTACCAAACCTTTCCTGTTTAGTCAGGTGATCGTAACTCACCAGTAATTTTTATCTTTTATCAACAGCAATTAGAGAAAAGGAGAATGCTGAGAGGAAGTTGAAGGAGGATGAAGAGGTAAAAAAATGTTTTTGAGATTTATCAAAACGTAATTTTTTTGAGATGTGGGTATTGTACAATATTATGTTTGTACTGTCTTCATATTTATGGAACCATCTATTAAAGCTTGTAGAGTTACAGGTTCAGTTCTTAACCTTGTCGTAGTTTGAATGTTTGAATGTTGTATTTTTAGTAAGATACACACACACACACTCTTTTCTGCTTCTGCTCTGATGAAAATGGGTACCAACAGGGTTTTTTTGAGACATTGACAATGCAAATATGCATGACATCAAAGGAACACTTAACTACATTGTAGTTTCAAGGAAGGGTAGAATGGAAGGCATTAGTTAATCCAAAAAGTGGTGGCAAAGTCTTGTATGCTTTCATGTTGACTGCTTATGGGAATATATATATGAAATATATGAATAAGAATATTATGACTGACTTAGGAATGGAGCACTCTTCCAAGTTAGATTTTAAGTAGTTGTATTTGTTTTTGTTGTATTTTCAAAATAATTATCAAGGGTGGATATTAGTGATTTGCAGATTTAAGGTTTGATCTTGGCTTGATTTTTTCACGAAAACGACTTTTTCAGAAGCTGTGAAAAAAATTAAGTTCCATGGTATTCTTTGTATAACTGTGAGTAGCTTTTTCCATTGATTTTATACTCCATTTGTTTATCAAGGAGAGGGAACGTTTGAAGAGACTGGAAGAGGAAGAAAGGAGAAAGAGAGAGGCAGATGAAAATTTATACAAAGATGCAGAGCTCCACAAAGAGGTAAGCCCTAGCAGTATTCATAATATTGTGGCAGAATATAGAGATTCTGGCTTTAAAATTTTGTTAATTCATACATTTAAAAAGTATTTGCATTAGCAGCCATTACCAGGGGAAAAAAGAACCACACAAGAATTGAAACTGAGAAATTCTACCCAATACACCTGGGGAAGTAAAGTCGAAACTGAACTGTAAGATGGCCTTCCCTTGTCGAAGAGAAAAGTGAACGTCTTACATAGTGTCATTACAATGTAAAAAATACGAAATGGAGGAAAATACGATAAGTGGCAGATGTTTGTATTATATAGGTCGGTGTTAGAGAGGGTTCGACTGTGATCGTAGCTGTACAGATCTCACTATGAAATGTGGTAGGTATAGCGAATATTAAGATAGAATAAGAAATGAACAGCTATGGGAAAGGGCAGGACAAAAGGATATAGAAGTAGAAATAAGACTAAGAAAGTGGCGTTGGATGGGACACACCTTCAGAAAGCCCAGCGGAAACACCACAAGACAGTCACTGCAATGGAACCCACAGGGAGCACGAGGCAGGGGTAGGCCTCGAGAGACATGGAGGAGATGTGTGGAAAGAGACATGAGAGAGATGAAGCTCACTTAGAACAAGCTAGGAAGAATGATCCAGGATAGAGATAAATGGAAGGAGCTTGTATGCGGCCTATACCCTGCCTGGGGTGAAAGGCATTGATGATGATGATAGCGAATGATTAATCTTTTCTTACGCTACAAGGGAGCTCAACATCCAAATCATTGTTGCTACTAGAAAAGTGGTATCACCAATGGTTTTACTCTCTTTCCCTAAAAACAGGATCACATGGAGTTCCTCATTTCTCTTGAAACAGCAACAAAATATTTGACAATGTGATAGTTATGGTGTTTATCAGTTCCCTAACGGTACAAGTTTGTTCTGGTGCGATCTTTGAGGTGCTTAGAAAGAAATGGTTCATCGTAATTCATTGTTACAGTTTTCATATCAAAAGAAAATGGCCACTTGGTAATTTTTCCAAGCATATCTTATGGTCAGAACATCTTTTGATACATCCATAAATAAATTATTTTTAAAATGTCAAATAAAAACCTAAATCAATGTTTTTAAAGGACGTCTGGTTGGATTTTTTAAGAATTGCTATGTTTAACCCATTTTTGTGTTAAATACATAGCATACAAAACATAAAGGTTTAAGAGTACCTCATCCCACCCATGCAGCAGCTGTCATGAGATTATATACCCTCTGACCTCTGATGTTTACTTTTCCCATCAAGGCCAGAGACACAGTTACAAACTTGTGAACCCTTGACCCAGAATATTACTACAGTTTTTTATGTGTTTTGCATTCCAGCTTGTCCATATTGTTTAATATCACCTTCACACGTACACCTTGATGCATTATGCTCATGTAAAATGCAGGAAGATAAATGTAAGGCATCGTGGTGAAATCAGGCGCTCGTCAAAATAATGAAATCAAAGAAATTGAAGTTTTTCTGCCCGTTGGGCAATTTTTTTCTAATTGTCTTTTTTTGGCTTAACACCTTTTTATATCCTTATAAAAACACATTTCTGTGAGGATTTTACTGAAAAAGATTGATTAAAGGCACAAAAAATGTACATTTTCAAAAAGTCTATCAATAAGCGAAACAGGTGTGCCATTATCTCTCTTGGTATCATCACAGTCAACTGCAAAATGGATGGCCCAAGTTCAAATCCAGAACAGGACATTCCTGAAGTTAGGTTGTTTCCAGAGTTATTATGGCTCTCAATCTGTTCGATCAGTTTTATTGGAGATGGGCATTTATCCTGGAAGTCCTGCTTTCTATATCACTTTTCTGCCTTGAAAGAGGTGTTCAACCTGCCAAGGAGCAAAACTTACCCTTGTCTCTTACTTTCTGTACATGGCATGTTTTGTTTACTGAAAATAGCGAAGTTAAGTACCTTGGCTGACATAGAATAGAACTTTTTGAGCCCCAACAGGGTAGCAGGCTTAGAGGAAACATTCCCATAGAAAGCACTAAAATAAACTAAGATCCCTCTAGGATTCCAATCTAGAACATTCATGAATACAAAAGACTGTATCCCTCTTCAGAAGGGGTCTACCTATTACTGAGGTGAGCCAAATACACAATAATGCACATACAATTCACAAAAATGTCTGTATGTCCATGGATGTGATGGAGCTTTTAACGAATTATTTTTATACCAATGTTGTATAAACTGAAAACAGTATAATTGTAAAGGGATGTAGATTTTCCTTCTTCTGACGTATCATCATTATTTTTCGTTTGCTTGTATAGATTATACGTGTGCATATTATAAGTACAAGGTAGAAAAGCTCTTTTGTAAGTGTGCATCGAGAAAGGTTCTTTTATTCTGTCACTGGGATGTAATATTTCCTGTCTCAGTTTCACATTATCACTATATAATAGTGTGTGAACGCTTAAGCAGCTGCTTGCACTGTATGCTTCCCGGGAAGCTGAGAATGTTTCTGAGTGTTCTATGGTCTGCTGGGGTAATGGTATGTAAATAAAAGCACATAGAGCTTGCTGTAGAGCGGGGTTATGGGCTATACAAATGCTATTTATCATTATTATTATTATTATTATTATTGTAATAAATATGGGTGAAAATTAATTCTTCCGAGACATGGTTTGTTACTCTTTCCTTATTTTTGTGACCATATGAACGCACTGTGACATGGGTTAATCTTATTATGAAGCCATTTGTGGCTAGGCAGAGCATAATTCCGAGAGAAATGTAAATAAATTAACCACAAAATTGTTCTTGTGAATCTATGCTGGCATTTCTACAAGGACAAGGCTGCATCCATGACAGGTTTTACATTCCATAAAAAATGTTCAGTCATGGATTGTACTTCTTTGATTAATTTCATGTTGACTCCAACACTTGATTGTGTTTTCATTCTACATCGCGTCATCCAAGAATGATAGGAATTGGGGACGGGGGGAGTGGAGAGGAGGGAGAGGGAGCTGGCAATGACATTGACATATGTGCTTGTGACATGAACGCCAGATAACTCGTGTCAAAATCAGATTTGTCATGACATAGCAGACAAAGCAGGGTGGGGATAGGCATCGCAAATTGTGTCCCCGTGATGCTAACCCTAATCATCCTTGAAATTGAAAATGTTATGCTGTAATTTTTGCTATTTCCTTCACTTTTTACATGGAAATACTTTTAGTAGCCCAAAAACATAAAATTGCCCCCGTGAGTCCAATATAGATGGACTCCACTGTACATCAGTGGGCTCAGTGGCATTCTAAAACATACAGACTGGATGAGTTTGGAGTGTACATTTTTTCTCTTCCTCCAGGCAGCAGAAAAGGCTGAGAAAGATGCTGACAATGAACTGGCTAAACTTGAGAGTGAAAAGGATGGAGCAGATGAAAAGAAGAGAAAGATGATAGAAGAGGAAGAAGAAAGGCAGAGGAAGCTAAAGAAAGGTAAAGAATAAAGTCCCTCTAGAAGTCACACGTAATAAAGTGCTGAGAGAGGGTGTAATACTAATTGTTATAGTAGTGGTCATAGTAGTCATAGTGGCTGCACGAGGGACTGCTGAAGTGATAGTGGCAGTGACAATGGGAGGTGGAGTAGTGGCAGTAGTAGTAGTTTTGACAGTGGAAGTGACAGTGGTAAGAGAGTGCAGTGGCGGAGCGGTTAATGCACTCGTCTCCGAAGCGGAAAGTCTGGGTTCGAGCCTCGGTTCGGACACAGATTTTTTTCGTCCGCTCCTGCCCACCCAGCAGTAATGGGTACCTGATTTCGAGTTGGGGAAGTAGAGGCGGCGTGGAAAGGAACTGGCCACCCTACCAAAATATGCCGAAGGCCCAGGAAGTTGTCCCGCTAACAAGGCAATCCCCAATGTCTGGATCGGATGTGGGAACAACTCTAGTGACAATGGGAATGACAATGAGAATGGCAGCTGAAGTGGTGGTGATAGTGACAGTGGGAATGACAATGGGAATGGCAGCTGAATTGGCAGTGGAAGTGCAAGTTGCAGCAAGATTAGTATTAGATGCAGTAGTGGTAATGGCATTGGTTGAGATGGCGGCAGTGGTAGTGACAATGGTAATAACAGTTGTGGTGGTGGTCCTTGTCAGTGTTGTTGTCAGAGTAGGTAGGACTTGTATTTGCAAAACTGTATTAGTAGCTTCTGCTAAAGCAATATCAGGGTATTTTGCATGATACAAACATTGAATTTTCCCAGTACAGAAAGAGTTCACCTGTTACTTAGGTGAGCCAAATAGCTAAACAAAACCTTACAATTTTCTAAAATGTATTACAAAATTTTCTTTTTGTTTTAAAAATGTAGTATGGTTGCCAGAAGCTTTAATTTCAGAATGGCAGATACATTCCTTCATACTTATCTACACAGTGGAAGACATTTTTGATAAAGAACTTTTTGTCAAAAAAATTTGAAGACGATTTTTAGACCAGACTTGACAATTCACTTTCTTTAAAGTAAAGTGTGTGTGAATAAAATTACATGTACTTTTTATTTTTTGGTTGCTTTTATATTCAACAGATAACAAAAACAAGCGCATCCGCTACCAATTGAAGGTTGCCATCAAGGCAAAGGACAAGTACCAGCTTGAGTTCTCAATGACAGAGTTTAAGAACGCTAAACTCTCAGATGATGACATGGACTATGAGAAGGCAAAACGCCTTTTGAGGCAGTTGTCAGCTAAAGAAGGTATATGGGCTTTATGTTGTTGTTGTTTTTAAAAATTATGTTTCTTACCCATTCAGTGTAATGAAAAAAGTAAATAGAAAGGGTTTGATATGAGAGAAAAAGCACAGGAGGGAAATATGCTGATAGCATACAAATATGTTACCAAAACGATCCTTTAAGAAGTCATAACGATGGAAGAAATGAGAAAATAAAAGGAATTACATAAACGTTTGAGAAGATATCTGCAAGAATGTGGAATGTGGTGGTGTCAGGACATTTTGACTTTTTGCGACCATCACATTGCAGGGACTGTCCTCAATGTTCTGCATTTTCAATTTCAAAGATATCTGTTCTAGAGTTGATGTTTCAGAGTTTCAACATGTATATTTTAAAAAAATCTTGATGCCTACTTTGGCTTCCAGCAAACTGAGTTTTAAAGTTGTACATATAAAACAGCCCAAAAATGATTACAATTAGATTAAATAATCACTTTGTAAAGTTTAAAGATAGGAAAACGAAGTGAGATTAAGTGTAAAAACCATGAAATGGCAGAACTTTCAAAGGCGAAAAAATAATTATTTTAGAATATGAAGTTTTTAAAAAATAAATCAAAATAAAATATTACAGACCTTTTGTCAATTAATGACTATAAGAAAACAGACATAAAATTTTGGGGAACCCCCTGGTATAAAAATTCACGCTCAACTCGGGAAGACCTCATCTTATATTTTGGCTTCTAGCTGAAAGCTATGTTTGCCGACACTTTCCTAATTCTCACAAAAAGCATCTCCTGTAATCAGAAACTGCATCATCGTGGCTTGTGATGAGACCTATTATAATTATTATCCTTTTTTAAAGACATTTTTGTCTTTTTCCAGTGTATGTTTGTTCCATTTGTGAACTAATCTCTGCCCAGAGATATAATATGTTAGTAAATTTAATTCACACTGGAAAGGTGTTAGTCTACAATAGGCAACTTTTGTCTTGTATTTTCCATGTAGGTCTCCAGAAAGCCATGACAAAGAGGGAAATTGAGGAACTGGACAGAGCTATGACTTTTGTACGCAAACACGGCTTAGAGGTGGAGCTCGCTAGTGAGATGATGGATGCGAACAAACTTCTGTCACATCTCAGACGGCTCGAGAGGATCAGACACGAGATCTTGGAGCTGAAGCAGTCGACTGTGGCTGAAATCCGGAGCTACACGAGCCCTCCGCTCATTGTGCACACAGTCATGACTGCCACATTTTTGCTGCTGGGGCATAAGGAAGGAGAAACAAAGGTAATGTGGAAACAAAAGTTAAATGTGAATTTTGAACGATGTCTTTAAGAACCATAGCTTTGAAAATACATTTTCCCACGCTTTGTTCAATTTATTATTTTGCACTGAATGAGAGCCATAACTTTGAAAGTACATTTTCCCTTGTTTCGTTCAATTTCCTAGTTTGCATTGGATGAGAAGTACACCGAATTTACTTTTGTTTCTTATCATTGATCGTATCGCTTTAGAGGACATATCTGTTTGTTATAACCACCTGTTGAATTTAGAAGAAAGAAAGAGAAGATATCCGTTTTTATCTTTCTGTGACTGTTGGGTTTTTTTAATGGCATGTACAAAGGTATAATACCATGCAAGTCGCTTTATATAGCAAACAAAATAAGAAGTCAGCTGACTCAAAGAAATATTCAATTGCTGGTTGTACCAGTAATGGAAAGACAGCTTATGCTTATAGATTGATGGATTCTGTTGTTTTCAATAATTGTTCCTCTGAGATGATGCTGGAGCAAGATGTGTTCGCAAAGGAAAATATATGCAAAATGAAAGATGTTTAGTCCTGTCTTCATTTTGAGAAATGTTGTACCCATGTCTATGTAGTGCAAGTTAAGGACTTCTGCTTTTTTTTTAAAATAGCGGTAAAGTAGCTGGTAGTTTTTTTTAATTCTGGCTGAATAATTTGTATTTATAGAATTGGAGTCGGTTAATCCATGTGTACATTGCCTTCCTCAACTTTTTAAAAATTTTTCAGAAGAAAAGAAAAAGTTTGCTGGGGGTAGGGGAGGGGGGATGTTGTTTCTGACTCATGAAATAGGAAAAAGGGACTTTGTTTCAATTTTTGATGGACTCTTTTGTTACTGGTACTTTACTTTTGTCTTGATGATGTAGAGGCATAATGATAATAACACACGTGGGAAAAAAGAACTCACTGCTTCCTATGGACTTTGCTGAAACTGAATTTCAATGAAAGGATTTTAATATAAAATAATGTTTTCATGTGCTGTGTTCCCCGATCACACTGGTAAAAATATTGGAAATTATTCAGGCGGTTGTCATCATTGAAAAGAAGGGGAGAGGGGAAACTTGTGTGTGTCCTTGACAAAAAATTGAGCTAACACCTCTATATGTGTATCACGGAAATGGATGGCTTGCCCATGACTGACTCTGAAACTCTGTGTGTAGGACTGGAAGGCGGTGCAGGCTCTTGTGGGTAAAACAGGGAAGGAGAGCCTTAAACGACGCTGTCTGGAGTTGGATGCGAAAACTTTGGCACTAAAAACTGCCAAGAAGGCTCGGAAACTTCTGGAAAAGTATGAACTGGATGATGTAAGGGACATTTCAGCTGGTGCTGCAACTTTCTTTGTATGGGTAAGTGACTGCTGGTTTGATCAGGCTTGTTGCTATTTTCAACTCTCCCTGTACAGGGCAGGCATATCATTTGCTTTTTTTTTTATTAGGGAAAGAAATGTGACCGGGTTGATTCCTGGAGAGAGTGAGAAAGAGGAAATGGATAATACAAGGTGATTCAAAAGAATACACCAAAATAATCGAGCGATATTACAAAAGCAAAAAACAATAGATAACTCCAGCTTGTACACATGTGTTGTATATACCTTCAAGTTTCTATTTCAAGTTTTACAAGTTCTCAATGTGACCAAAACCGGCAGCACAAGCATCATCAAGCCGATATCAGAATTCCTCCCAAACACGCCTCAGAATGTCTCAGGCCACCGAGTTTATTGTAGCTGTTATTCAATCTTTTATGTCATTGATATTTGTTGGAAGTGGTGAAACATTAACTTTGTCTTTAACATACCACCACAAGAAGTGGCTATTCACTTTACTGTACGCATATTCAAATGACTTCATTTTTCTACAAGATGGAGCACTTCCCCATTGGCATCTGAGTTTGAGCTTATCTGAATTGAAATGTGGATTGGTAGGAGAGGTGCTAAAGACCTCACTCTCTGTAGTTGGCCTGCCAGATCCCTTGACCTCTCTGTGTGATTTTTTTGCCGGGGGTATGCTAAAGATGAAGTTTATGTTCCACCACTTTCAGCAAATATCGATGGCATGAAAGATCGAATAACAGCTACAATCAACACGGTGGCCTGAGTCATTCTGAGGCGTGTTTGGAAGGAATTCTTATATTGGCTTGATGCTGTCGTGCTGCCGGTGGTGGCCACATTGAGCACTTGTAAAACATAAAAAGGAATACTTGAAGATCTGTTACAAAATATGCGTCCAAGCAAGAGTTTTCTATTGTTTTTCGTTGTTAAAATATTGTGTGATGATTTTGGCGTATTCTTTTTTAATTACCCTGTATAATAATATATGTGTGTTGATTTTTCAGTACTTGCACAGTGAAAATGCAGTACATAAATAAATATGTATTATTTCCAGCTCATTTTCTTGGGATGCTCAGCAATGATGGAATAAATAGTGTGTGCCTAAATAACTATAATGGCTATTGGAGAGGGATGGTATAATGTAATAGCTGGCCAACGAAATGTGTCATTGCAGTCTCTTGTGAGCTACCGAGGTTTGAAACTTGGCTTGCTCCGAAATGCTCTCTTTACATGGTGTGTTTGTGTAAATTTGAGGTAACAAGAATGCATCTCAAGAGTGTTTTGTTTTCTCTACAGGCTACTGCAATGATAGAAGAAGCTTTCGCCTTGCTGGAACAAGAATCTTCCTGAACAGAGACCCTTTTCAACAAGAAACTATTAATGTGATACCAGAAACGGAAAGACACCTCATGGTGTTGTCATGGGCACTGATAGAGTGATATACATATATGCTTTGTGAAGACATTTTGTGCCTGGAATCTCCTTCTTTCTTCTTGGATAATTGAATAATCAACTGTAATCCATCATTGCGTTGAGATATTAAATAACAATCTCCTCTCTCATCTTCTTTCTCCATGGTGAAGACAAACTATGATCTATTTTTTTTCTATGAATGATGGGAACTATTGACTTTCTCGATTTTTTCTTTGTTCCTGTTTCCATTGATGATGATTACCATATTTAATGACAGTAATGTAACAAAATTCATAATTAGGTGATCCCTTTCATTTTTGCATGATTTGAATTTATACTGTGGTCACAGAGAGTGCATGGCCTACCTATTAAAAACGTTACTGTGTTGAATTTGTGAATCAAAAGAAAAAATTAATTGAAATTGTGAGTGTGTGTTGTCTGTTGTTTAAGTTGTGCATGTGCATAGCCTGCGCAATAATTGCCAGTTTCAATTTGATACGCTGCATAGTTGTCATATGCAGTCAAAAAGTGCACTTTCTGCCTAACCTGAGTATTGTTGAGATTAAAGTTTTGATAAAAAAATAATACCCGTCAGCTGTAAATAATGCTAGTGCACTTGTTGTGCAGATGTGTAAGTGAAATGCCTCAAAAGTTAATCATTAACAATGCGTCTTTCCATTTATTTATGGATTTGGATAAGATAATGCAGCTTGACTCCATTTTATATCTATTTCTTAATCAATGCAAAGTCTTTTCAATAGAAAAACTTGCTGTCTTTACTGAGATTTTGGCAAGGTTTTATCAAAAAAAGAGGCTTTGGGGTTGACAATAAAAGACTAATTCATTGATTTTTTTGTGGTCTTTACCACTGATTTTGATTTCTTTTCTGTTATTGTTTGATCCACATCCTCATCTAATCACAAGAATGTTGTGTTTTAGCTTCCTCCTTTTGATTTCTGGGTCTTCAAGGTTTTGATCAAGACCAAGTGCTTTTGTCACTTGTTTCAGATTTCAGGTAAACCTTGCATGCAGAGTGAAATGCAGAAAATAAAAATATTAGACTTATTGGTTATTGAATAAAGTTTCATATCCTGGTTGACAGAAACTTGTCAGTTTTCAAAGGTAGACCACTACATTGTAATAGTTTTTGGGTCTGTTTGTTTGCAAGACCACACCCTTGGTTGTCAGTTTGACACAAAGATGGCTGAGGGAAAAGATAATAAGCATGGAGGCAAAGTGTCGCCCTTGTGTCAAAGAAGTTGTGGTTCAAAAGAGGCTTCCTACCAGTACAGGAGCTGCATCTTAAGCTAATGCAGTGGCGCATTATTTATATCTCACCACCTGCTGGGGGATCTCTCTCTCTCTCTCTCTTTTTCTTCTGGCGCTGTGGCGTCATAAATAGTCAGCGATGCCGACAGCACACAGGAACTCAACACTTGCCCGGGGGTCCTTGAAAAGTGCTGAAAATGGGTTATTGAAATGTCCCATGGGACTGATTGATGTTATATTGCTTTTGTCATAATTGTTGTTATGTATCTGTGATATCAGCTAATCTGTGAACAATGTTGAAATGTTTATGTTATATTATGATTTTTGTCAAGGGTTTTTACATCCTGTTTGGAATACAGTCAAACCTGTTCTAGTGGCCACCTGTGCAACGCAATAATCTGTACAAAACAACACTTTCCACTTCCTGTCTTGTGGTTTTTTTTTCCTCTATTAAAAGATGTCCACAACCATGTCTCTCCTCGAAAATAGGAGGCCATCATGGACAAATTTGACTGTATTAAAAAACAAGCTGTGAGCCCACATGTTGACTCGAGAATGTTGGCAAGAAAAAACAGTGACAAAATCTCAAATAAATAAAGATGAGGGGTTTTGTTTTGATTTTTATGGGCATTTTTTAAAAAGGGGTGTGGGGGGGGGGTGTGTAAGGGGAAGAGAAGGGAAGTAAGACACAAGAGAAAAGCATTATTGTAAAAAACTGAGTACATGTAGTTAACTTCAGCTTTTGAACGGCCTTCATACTGCATGGAAACTTTAAAAATTTAATTAACAAAGTTGGGTAAACGCTACTTATTTTGTTATGTAGCTTTGCAGCTTAATTCTCTGTAAAATATTATATTAACTTCATTTTGTTAATCTGAAGGCAGATAATGTTATGAACTCCTCAAATGCCTCTCTTTGCTGAAAGTTAAGGAAGAGTTATATAAATTCCAGGGACAGTATAATATTACTTTTTCAAAAATTTAAGCCAGATTCTCATATTATGGATGAGAAAAAAAGGCAGGGTAACAAGAACTCTACTGGCTCCTTTGTATAGAGAATAGAGAGAGGGGGGGGGGGGGGGGGGATCATCGTTCACTGTGTATGAATTTTTTCTGCAATGATTGTTTTTGCTATTGTTTTGTTTTTATTCTAGATGTCTGGTTTTTTGCCAGTAATTGTGGAGAACACTTTTTATGACATTTAGTAGCTTTGAGAAATGAAAACGACCAGAGTACTCTGAGAAAACATTTGTAATTTTATGTTAATTAAACTTGATTGAAGTATTATCACATGATATTGTCTCAGTTGAGTGTAAGTTGATTCACTTTTTTACCGAGAACTTATCTCAAATTAATATGTTGTTGAGAATTTGAACAATAATACCATACATGTACTAATGGTATAATAAAATGAAAAGTTAACATATACCTATTTTCTTTTCTATATCAGTTTTCTTTAGATACTGGACACTTTGATGTTCCGAACAAACGGTCACACAGTCTCTCTCTCTCACACACGCACACGCGCGCGCACACACACACACATACACACATGTATATATTTATTTCATAGTCAAACCTCGTTATGTCGCCATCCTAGGGACGGGCTTCAAGTTGGCGAAATAGTAGGGCTGGCATTTCAACGAGTTTCCTCTGTTTTAGCCCCGACTACCAATCTGTACTTGAAAAATGTCTTTTTGATGATGTACATGTGTATGTATTCAGAGCCGAGTTCTCTCTCTCTCTCTCTCTCTCTCTCTCTCTCTCTCTCTCTCTCTCTCACTCTCTCCCTCCCTCCCTCTCTCTCTCTCCCTCCCTGCCTTCCCCCTCCCTCCCTCCCTCTCTCTCTCTCTCTCTTTCTCTCTCTCTCTCCTCTCTCTCTCTCTCTCTCTCTCATGGGAAAAAGATTATCAAGTAGCCGACTAGTGTGTGTTGTGCACCGTGTGTATAGTGTGTAGTGTGTACCTTTGGCGATCAGTTCGCTGGCGGTACGGCAGGGCAAATTTACAAGTTAACCTTATCCGAACGCCCTGGGGTCATTTTGTACCCACGGGGTTGTATTCTTCTCATTTTAGAATACTTCTAGTGAGAAGATCTCTTAGAAACTGTCAGTATTTCTTTAAAAAATCATGTTTACAGACTGCTATGTAAAGCGTACGGATCGGATTAACGAGTAAATTGCCTCTTTGAAAATTGGTGGCACAGAATTCCCCACGTCGTATGGATACGATAGTAAAACACGACATACATATAGGGTTAAATAAGGACAGTACACCAAAGATTCTCTATTAGTAGAGAATCTCTGGTATAACTCATACAGTTGGAAGATGACGGTGTGAAGGAGTAAATACTACTCGTATGTTTTTTTTAGTATATAAGGGGGGGGGGGGTACACCGAAGTTAGACTGTTTGGTCCAGAGACACGGCGTGTTCGCCTTTCATTCAGTAGGTCCCGTGTTCGAAACGTGACAGCGACGGCAAATTTTATTCTCTAAAAAATGCTTCTTTCACCTTTTCTGTTCTCCCATCATGTCATGTAGTCTACGTTTTCCACTTACTGCCGCCCCCCCCCCCCCCAACCCAACCTCTTTGCCCCCTCCTCTAGGTTCCCATCTGTTTCTTCTGCCTTTCTACTGCGACTCCTTGGCTTCTTCTTACTGCTGTCTTTCAGCCACACTCTTGATCTTAGGCTAGGTAAGATCCAACACATAGCCTTTTGGATAAGGACATAAAAATCTCGGAGGTCCCGTGTGCAAGTTGCGCAAGTTAAAAATCCCCTGTGGTACTGAAACCGCTAAAAGCAACCTTTGGCCGCCATTCGGGCAAAATTCAAAATGAATTCCTACCAAACTGAAAATGCGAAGTGTGTCCCGCGCGTTCAAATGGCTTAAATGCAGCTGCGAATGCCGTAAAACTCTTACCGTCCCGTCCCCCCGAAAAAATATACATGTGTATTATATATATATATATATATATATATATATATATATATATATATATATATATATATATATATACACACACACATTACATATATCAGTGAGCCCCGACGGTAGGCGAACCCCCTGGACTGACGTGATAATGCCCCTACTATTATAGCCGAACCATGTTGCAGACGGCGATCAAGTTTACATACATTGTAACTACTAATGATTAACGAATGGGCTCTCTTTTTTTAAAAATTAGATAACCCACTACCAAGGCCGATCTAAGATAGCCTAGCCCACTACCAAGTTATCAGTCATTGCTCCTTTCCTTACCAGTGGGTTTTTTTTTCTCCTCATCTATATTATCTGTTTTCTAATATCTTAGTCCGCATCCAGAAGATTAGGGGTGTGGCTTAAAGACGGCAGAAAGGAGCCAAGGAGAATCAGTAGAACGGCTACAGAAAGAGTCAGGAGCCCAGAGGAGGAAACAAAGAAGGTGACGGGGTGGGGGGGGGAGAGAGTGGAGACGAAAGCAGACCGCAGAACATTGCTAGAGAACAGGAAAGGAGGTGAAGAAAGGAGACAATTAGAGAAAAATAATTTCCGTCGCGATCCGGGCTCGAACCCGAGACCTATTAAATGATAGTGACAGGCGAACACCTTAACCTCTAGGCCATGAGAACCCCCCGGAGACTTTGTGAAGGATCATTGTAGGAAGACGAAGAAGAAGAAGAAATCTAGGGGTCCTTGTGCATAAGATAATAATGCATATTGGTCAGATGTTTGTTCGTTCGTAGCTTCACAGTTAAAGCGTTTTCTCGTAATCAACATAATTATAATTTAGATTTTTTAACGGACTTGTTCTTTATCATTATATATCCTTGTAAGAGCTACCAACCAGGAGTTTGTGGAATGGGATACATCCACATCAATAAGACAGATGTATCCAATATCCTTCCTCTTGTAAGATTCTAATTCATGTCTTTTCTATAATTATAATGTATCACTATGGAAAAGCGCCTATCTATTACATTACAAACACTGGTAGACTAAGTAATAAATTATAGGCCAATTATAATTATTGACTTTTTTTTAAAGGGATTTTTTTGGAAGGGGGGGGGGTGGATAACTGTGAGTGAGCACTTACTGATTTCCTCTTTCATATGGTCGTGGTGGCGATGACTTGGCGCTTCTGTCGCACACACAGGAACTGATG